CCCTCTCTCTCTCTCTCTCTCTATTTATAAGCCAAGGGTAGTTATCTCTTAGTTTCCTACATTTATTCCTCTTATTTAGCATGTTTGTTTTATTAATTTCAATCGACTCCCTGCTCTTTAGCTTAGCTTTGAAGTCCTCATATCGGGCAAATCGTTCAGAAATTGACAAAGCAAACAATATTCTAAATAAGAAGAATGAATGTAGAAAACTTCTGGCTTCTAAATAGAGTGAGAGAGGGAGAGAAGGAAAGGGACCATAAAGAGCCAATGAGTAGAAGAAGAAGACTAGACTAAGCTAGAACTTCGTTTTTGAACCTAAAATTGTCAACCCATTCGGGTTTGTTGCATACACATGCAAATACTCATCCACACAGCTGTAGCAAGACCTAGGGCAGCTGGATCATACTCTAGTTTATTTGCCTTGACAAAAGTTGTGACCAAATCCGTTCCTCTGCCTGTATCACTTTTGTCCCCCTTACACGCATGCAGGACAAGTATATGTAAACCAACAAAATCATGCAATGCCTCATTAACATCGCAAAGTGAGGTATAAGAAGTGATCAGGATCTCAGCTGACCACCATTTCTTGATTTAGTGTTTTGGTGATTTATCGTGAATAATGGTTTCTGGCTCTGACGATGTCTGTTACAGGACGGATGAAAGCTCATCACGGAGTCATCGGGTGAGCCGAGGTCTTCTTCGCAGAATTCAACAGTCAAAAGTCTTAGATAACCCTCCTGCGATATCCTACGAATCCCTTCGACCCGCCTCAAACGCAATGAAAGGTACGCCAGTATCAATCTATTAAAGGATTCTTCGAAACCCAGCTTCTCTTCAGATCGCTTATATTTCCAATACGTGTTTTAAATAGATATAAAACAATGCGTAACTTCAGGACATTTATATTAGAAAAGTATAAGATATCGGACTTCATCAACCTTGTATCTAAGTTCGATTAGTAGACTTTTCAAGGGGTGAATCGGCTTTCAAAGAATTCGGCTTGATTTGATTTAGCCGCCTTTTCCTTTTGTCTCGCGTTCGACGGTTTCTGGAGTCAAGCTTAATCCAAGTCTTGACTGAAATCTCGAAAGTCTACTTATGAACGAAAATCCCAATCCAGTTTTCAAAGAATTTACGCTCAAGTGAAAACCCTCGAACCCTTAATGGCACCTACGCTATCAATATTAGGTCAAATATACATTTTGCTTTGTAACTGGATCGACTACATTATGTCTCATTATTAATCAGAATGCATCTTCCTTCTCGTATATTCAATTTGCGTTTCTGGTGATCTGAGTGTCCAATTCACATCCAAAGTAATGCAATGGTTTCGATATGCTTTTTTTATTTCATCCAGACAACTGCCTTCTTGTTACTTCTCATTACCTGTCTAGTTGATTGCCCGTATGTTATCATGCCAATTCCCTTTTCGTCTAAGAAATCAATCTACTTAGGCCAACTATTTAATCTGTCTTAACTTATAAGCCCTTGTTCTTTTTGTTATCCTTTTTGTTTAGTTATCAATATCCCCATTGTTTTACTCACTAGGTGGCCACATTGTGCAAATTTTGGATGGGTGGCCCAGATCCTTTGGACTACGTCAACATGTACGCCAATCCTGGTACTCTTGACGGCACAAGTCCTATACACTGGCACTACGTCACAAATGGTTTTTCGGACCTATACGGGGATTCCCGAATCCACAGGTCAGATAACTGTACTATTACCGCCTGCCTTTCACGTATTTATTATCATTCCTCTTACATTAATCAATGCTTGCCAAGCAAACTGATTGAGTCATTACTGATAATGTTAAGCCATTTCATAATGCATGCAGGCTGGAAAAGTACCAACACTCTTCTGATTATAGAAAAAGACATTCATGATCGCACATTAGTAGCAATTTGCCACGATACCTCAGCTATGCTTTTGACTAAGCAACCACTGCATAGATTTGTATCACTACGATTGAATATAAATTACAATGAACTGCAACGAGTGGGAAATCACTTATTTGAATGTATGTACGTATAACTGGCAGTCAAAATATTGTCTTCATTAGTACTGTCTGTTTCTCATGCCATCAAGCCATATTACTTCTTTCTACATGACATCGATACAATTGGCGGTTCAACCTTAGTTATTGCTCGTTCTAACTACTGTCAGACAACCTTAACATTGTGCTAACTGGGTCTGCAGCCATTTTCTAGGATTATTATTATTTACATTAGGGCAAGGATGGTCCTTATTTGCTCATTTTGAAACGTTTGAGTATCAGCTTAATCCTACTGTCGTTCATCTCCTGGAAGCTTAAGGCTATTTTTCCACCATTTAAGCACAATTTCCAGCCCAAACAATCTCCAATGCTTCATTCATAGTAATCCATTACCACATGTGATATGCATTTATGATCGACTCTCTTTATCATTAAATCTGTAGTTCAGCACCTATATTTGGAATAATCCAATTTCCCAAATTATTCTTAATCACATCTAATAGCGTATATTTTGTTATTTAATCGTTACTTGGATGTCGAGACTAGATTAATTTTGTCCGAATAAAAGCCCCTTTTTGGTGCTTTAGGGACTAATAGTCGATAGTCAGGGGTAACTGATGAATTCTTTCTCTTAATTTCGTTCATCATTTTTGCCGAGATGGCAAGGAGTTGCATCCTTAATTCACTGACAGGGTTGTTTGCTCAAAGTATGTTGTGCTTACTAT